CGTCGGCACCGGCGGGGGGGGGGGGGGGGGGAGCATGCGCACCACTTAGACCAAGTGTTGGCAGAGTTGCAGCAGCATCAACTTTTTGCTAATGCCAAGAAATGTTGTTTTGGGCAGCGTTCACTTGAATATCTCAGCCACATTGTGTCTGGCGAAGGGGTTGCAGCTAACCCAGCAAAGATTGCGGCCATGTTAAGCTGGCCACAACCAGTGAGCTTACGGGAGTTGCGGGGTTTTCTGGGGTTGACTGGTTATTACTGGAATTTTGTGGCAGGGTATAGCCGAATTGCAAAGCCGCTGACTTACTTGTTACGGAAGGGCAGTTTTGGGTGGAATGAGGACACTGAGCAGGCCTTTGTTGACTTGTAGCAAGCAATGACAAGTGTGCCCGTCCTAGCCCTAACGGATTCTTCTAAACCCTTTGTGCTGGAGGCGGACGCTTCCGGTTTTGGCGTGGGCATAGTTTTAATGCAGGAACACCGCCCAATTGCCTACTACAGCCAGGTGTTGTCGACACAAGCGCAAAGCAAATCGGTGTACGAACGGGAGCTCATAGCCATCGTGTTGGCGGTACAGAAGTGGCGTCCATACTTGCTGGGGCACCATTTTTTGATCCGAACTGACCATCGGAGTCTCAAGTATTTGCTGGAGCAGCGCTTAGTAAATCCCGAGTACCAAAAGTGGTTGACTAAGCTAATATGGGATATGATTTTGAGATCCAGTACCGCCCAAGGTTAGATAATCGTGTGGCCGACGCATTGTCTCAACTGTCCTCTAGTCCGATTCTGCAGGCTTTGGCCGCCTCCTCCATTGTCAGTACCGATGAAATCCACCAACACGTGTTGCAAGACGACAAGCTAGCTAAAATTTGGTCGGATTTACATCGTGACGCCGCAGCTCACCCGGGATTCTCTTTGGGCCAAGGAAGGTTGCTGCATTGGGGCCGAATGGTGGTGGCTCGTAACTCTCCTGTGGTGCCTCGGCTCTTACATGCTTACCATAATTGGGTGGTTGGAGGACATTCTGGTGCCTTGAGAACGTACCGCCGCCTGGCCGCGGATTGGTTTTGGGTGGGCATGAAACGGGACGTGGTTGTACATGTCGCGGAGTGTGAAGTGTGTCAACGTTGTAAGTCTTCTACACTTGCCCCTAGTGGACTGTTACAACCCCTGCCCATCCCTGAGCAAGTATGGGATGATGTGTCCATGGATTTTATTGAAGGATTGCCACAGTCGGACGGGTTTGATACTATATTTGTTGTGGTGGACCACCTCAACAAATACGGCCACTTTGTTGCACTTAAACACCCGTTCACGGCAGAAACAGTGGCTAAGCATTTCATTCGGGAGGTGGTCTGCTTACACGGGGTTCCGCGCACTATCATTTCGGATAGGGATCGCATTTTCCTTGGCCATTTTTGGTCGGAGCTGCATTCACAGATGGGCACCACCTTGTCGCGTAGTACGGCATACCATCGCCAGTCCGACAGTCAGACCGAAGTAGTCAACCGCTGCATCGAAACTTATCTGCGCTGCTTTGTCTATGACAAGCCACGGCAGTGGCAGAAGTGGTTAGCCTGGTCGAAGTGTTGGAACAATACATCTTTTCACTCAGCCATACGAACTACACCGTTTCAGGCGGTTTATGGTCGCCCTCCTCCCCTGCTTCGTTATGGGGTGGGCGCTTCTGCCGTGGATTCGGTGGAGCGCCAACTCATGGACCGTGACGCTATGTTAGATTTGCTCAAGTGTCAACTTCTTCGCGCGCAGCAGCAAATGAAAGCGGTGGCGGATGGGAAACGACGTGACGTACACTTCTCAGTGGGGGACTCCGTGTATCTTAAGCTTCGGCCGTATCGACAGGTTTCCTTAGCTCGACGTCGGAATGAGAAGTTGAGTCCCCGTTTTTATGGACCCTTTATCGTATTGGCGCGCATCGGGCCTGTAGCTTATCGCCTGGAACTGCTGCCTACTTCAACCATACATCCTGTGTTCCATGTTTCCCAATTGCGCCGAGTGGTTGGAAAAGAGCATATCGTGTCCCCCATTCCACCCCAACTCACGGATACTTTGGAGTTGCTAGTGGAGCCTGCAGCTTTGCCGGGGGGGCGGCAGCGGATGCATGGTGGGCAGTCAGTTCCCGAGGTCTTGATTCGTTGGGCTCATCTGCCAGACCATAAGGCTATTTGGGAATCTTATGAGACCATTGCTGAGCAATTTCCATCTTTTCACCTTGAGGACAAGGTGAGTCTTTGGGGCGGGGGTAATGAGAAGCCACCCATCCGTTTTACGTATGCTCGACGGCGTATCCAAGGGAAGGATCCAACAAGTGCAGGGGAACAGCATGGAATTGAGTGCAGTGGAATGGATTCTCAGAAGAAGGAAGGAGCTAAGCTGGAATCTCAGAAGAAGGAAGAAGGAGCTGAGCTGGAAATTGAGCGGGAAGGGGGTATGACTAGTTAGTTAGACTTCGGGGTCTGTGTCAAGATCCTGAAGAATAGGCGTTGGGTAGTTCAGGGGAAATAAAAAGGAAGGGAGGGGCGAGAGAGAGAGGGACTTTTTGGATTGTTGAGCGAATTCTGTAAGAGAGACTTGGAGTGCAAGGGGTCACTCGAACACCCCCATATCGGCCGTTGTGTATCCATTTTTGCTGCCATTAATTCCAATATTGAGTTTTCTTTCCCTTCTAACGTGTGATTTGTGTGGAATCTGGTCTCGATCTTATCAATTTATTTGGCAGAAACGTTGGATCATTGTGTTATGGATCCTCAAAGTCAAAGACATTGGAGAATATGGACAACTCCATCTCGTGCAAAACTTCATGCAACCCTCTATTCATTTCAGCTTTACGTTCCACTCTTCTGTTGTTTCACCACCTTTTTCTTTCCCTACGTTTCTATGTGTGCATGTATTTATATGCATGTACGTCTATGTATGTTTGTAGTGAAACAACATTCTATCTGTACCGCATCTCGGATAACAGAGGCACATAGAAACGTACCTCGCTTTAAGAGTCCCACAGAATCTATAATAATCAGGAAAGCCTTGCAGCCTTGCATATTCTCGTAACGTTAGGATTCGGTCCTGCTCAGGATGTAGTGCTGCCTACAGACATTTCAAAAGTTCATCATAACATCCAGAAGAAGTGATTCCATAAGAAAATAAACAAGAGGGCAGAGCCAAACCTGATTATGACAACATGGTATAGTCAATACTGTCGGAACTGTCTCATCCCACCATAACCTTGAAAATGGTCTAAACATACGTCTAGGAGTCAGATATATAAAGAATGAGAAATTATGAACTGTTGAGAAAGGAAAAAAAAAAAAAAAAAGGAGGAAGATAGCTAACCTTTTGGATTTGCCTTTTTCAAAAGTGAAAGTGTAATCAGGTACCTGATAGCAAAGGAAGAATAATTTTGACCATTATGAGTCAATTTCAACCCAATAGAGCATATGACATGAAAGCAGAATATATATGGTTCTCGACATGATGTTTTAGCTCCTTTCATTCTTATCCAGGAACTTATTCTTCCCCCATCTGAGAAACATTAATTTTTTTTTTTTTTTTTTTTTTTTTTTTGTAACAAAATAATCACATCTGGCCTTTCAGCACACTTTGTTGTATGCTACATGTAACATTCAGCACGATAAAATTCACCAATTTCGTCTCCTCTTTTTTGGGGAAATAAAAATATGGAGAACTTCATTGGAACATGGAAAGTAAACGACACAGATGTAAAATGGAAAGTAGTAAGGTATCAATAAATACAGAAAGTAATATTGCTAAGAAACGTCAAGCAACACTGTACAGTCAACCTGGTAAAAATTGAAGGGCTTGTTTGGTAAGTATGTTTGAACCATGATTTGGGTTTTTTTATCTCACAAAGAATTTGAATTCAAAAGTTTCTTCTTTCACAAAGTTCCCGCTAATGAATCAATATCACTGACTTGACTATATGCCCCAATCGGGCCACAAAAAACAGATTATTTATAAACAAAAACGTGAAATATAAAATTTCCTGATGAGGTTATCTTACTTTCGCAAAGGAATCACCCAAGAAAAAGTAGCAATGCCTATCAACTAAGACCCCGAATTAAAGGCTGCTTAAGAACGCAAATCCTAAGTGTTAACCTCATCTTTACTCCTATAGAAAAGGCCAAATCAAATGGGAGATATGGCAAGAAAGGGCTCTTTCTTTCCAGCACAGTATAGAAATAAATCTCGCTATATGTTGCGACCAAATGACAACTTGGAAGTTTACGGGGGAAGCTGACTTCCAGAAGATCTGGTGAAGTCTCAAAATTACATAAATACATTTGTTGATCAAAACAGCAAAATACAAAAGATAACATGCCTGAAGTTAACAAACTCTTTTTTCCTCGAATCCTTCCCTTAACTCAAACCCTTCAAGGATATTTGACAAAGATTCATGCAAGTTCTAAGTTACTAAACAGAACTAACAACTCTAGCCAAGTGAATGAAAGAACTGATGGGAAACAATTATAGACGAAATTTCAGGACGGAACCAAGACAGACAAAGTCACAAAGGACAAATTAACCGTCCCATGATTTCTCTAAACCTAACCTTGAGCCCAATGTTGTTATCATCTCGGAACATGAGATATAATAAGAACTTAATCAGAATACGACTTGCTTTCAGTGAGCCTAACACTGGAGAGAATCTCCAAAAGAACATCCACAACCGCTTATTCATCATGCATTTTTCTGCTTGATGCTCCAATTCCTAGGAGAATTGAATATCTTAATTGTTGCTTCTTTTAATAAAAACAAAATGAGCATAAGGAGAATGGAAGAAGTTTAACCTGTTATAGAATGGAAGAAGTTTAACCGTTATTCTATATCCAAAGACATGATAAGAAAAAGACTGTCAAACACCCTTCTCATACTGCAAAAATTTTCAAACTTTCCCTTTGGAGAGAAAGTGTTACCATCAAGCACCCTCTTTAGAGAAAAAGTTCTAACAAAAGTTTCTATTTCCTTAGAAAAAGAAAAGAAACAACACTTACCAATGGCTTTCCAGATGGCAATAGTATATGTACATTTGGATCTCGCCGAGCCACATTATCTCCTCCTACAATAACACCCGGCAGGTTCCTAAAATTCGCTCCCTGGAAATCATTACAAATTAGGAGCAATGGAACGGTAAACACTTTTAGAAATGACAGAGGGGGGTACATCAGTTCAAGTATATATTTATCCAATTTATAAAGTTCGTAATTTTCCAACCTTTCTTTTTGGAATTTTACAAACTCGTAAGTAATCATCTTCACAAAATGGGGTGGGTCGATGATCATATAGAGAATATTTTGTTTCTCTAGTGTCATTTAATGCAGAGCCAGCCATCTCTATAGAAAAAAGAGCAAGAAATGAAAATGGAAGTCATGTTAAGATATGCATGTATGTAGAATGAATGCTCACAAGATGTAACAACTAGAAGTGTAATTTTGTTTGTTGACGAGTCACTTTTGTGCCATTAACAAATGAGAAGCACTCTTAACATACCAAGAATACATAAAATTTCAGATGCTTTCAGAAAGTCATAATGTAAACCTGAAAAGGTGCATGGCCCGGTCCCAAACCTCCAGGTTTGTCAGACTGGACCGTTTTGACAGTTTGGAAAGAATACAGACTGGACCAGACTGTTCTATGTAAGGAGACAGGTCCAGACTAGACCCTTCTATGAAAGTATGGGAACTGCAGTTTTGCATATTTTTTTGTTTCTGCTTGAAATTGACAGAAGGCACAAAAGACAAGCAAGCTGAACCATTAAACAAAAAATAAGAATAAGAGAACATAGGGAATGCAGCTGACTGGTCTAGACATGAATCATGATAGCGCATTCCCTCTTTAACTGTCCTATTGAGTAGATAAAACCCCAATGCATTTGTTCTCTCCCTATGAATACAGTACCCTCCATCTTATGAAAAAGAAAAATCAAGGATAGCACACCCTTTTCCAATAGAGGAAAAAAAATAATTGCAACTCCATAATCAACAAGTTTGTCATAGTATCTTAACCGTAAACATAGCCAACATAGAAAGTACATCAGTATTATGTGGTCTGAGAATATTGACAATACCCAATTTTGTTGACCTTATGTATCTTTGGAATTCTGTTTCCGGAGGCTTTGAATATGAAATTTCCTCACGAGTTTCATCATGTGTGACCTACGACAACAAACTTGGTTAGAATAGAAAGAGAGCAATAGAGCACTTCCTCAAGCAATGAATATGATGAAAATACAGGTGGTAGGTCAGAGATGGCATCTTGGAGAACAAGAGCCTTTTCCAGCTCACGAGGTTGGTCTTCGTCATAAGCGACAGTATTTCGCTGCACATGAAGATACAGAGTTAACTGCAAAAGTATAACACTGATAGTTCAAGATAGTTCAAATATTCACCAAACCTAAAAGACAGTACCTCAAACTCAGGAGGAGGCCAATATCTAACAATTACATCGTGGGTTGGAAGTGGAAATTGAGGTAGATTCTGCTGGAAAAAAAAAAGGACATAAAGGAGTGAGGGGCAGAATAGAGAGAATCAACAACCTGTTGGTCACCTCACTCGGATAAAGTTATTTACAGAAGTTATGCAATATTCTTGTTGACTTCATTTAACCCGACTCTTGTTGGTCACCTCACTGGGATAAAGTTATTTACAGAAGTTTATGCAATATTCTTGTTGAGTTCAATTCACCCGACTTTCAAGAGTAATCTTCATGTTATTAGATCATGCATAAAATCAGCATTTTCCTTGGTGAACAAGCATCTTAAACAAAAACTATAATTAAATAAAAAGAGTTCACCTCATGAGGAAGAGCGCCCCACAAGAAAACACGCAATCGAAACTGTGGAAGACCGTAACAGCCAGCAGCAATTATTCCGAGCCTTGCTTGATAATTCATGTGTACCAAACGACTCAAGGCATATCTTCCCAGAGAACCCTTGTCAAGTCTCATTATGTCAACTACGTTTTCCATTAATACATACTTTGGTTTTAAGAAGTTTACAATGTCCATGAAAACAACTATTTGACGATTTCTATCATCATCCAAGGGGGAACTGACATTTCTGAAACGATTATAGCCACTAATCCCTTGGCAAGGAGGACCACCACAAATAACATCAACATCTGCCTGAAATATTTATTTGTTAGGATTAGCATGGAGGAACAGACAGGTATACGTTAATGGTACAAATCCCGGCTCATACAATCAGTAACCAACTTACAGGAAGTGGCAAGATCTTCCTTTTCATACCATCTCTCACAAATTCCTCTATCTTTTCTCGGCAATTACTAAGAAAATACACATGAATCAATACTGATGCACTTAGTCAAACACAAATGTTTAATCGCAGCAGCCGGTGTGGTGATACCTTAAACCTTCAACTGGCTCCCACGAATCTTCACTGGTACCATAACCCTTCCAATGCACCTAATGAGAAACAGCTATGAGTAGGAATTCATCCATACCAGAGTACAATACACAATTCAACCATCCAAAAAATTGACAGGTAAAAAAACTTGGATAAGCATACACAATGAACTCTGCATATTCATTAAACATGCATAATCGAAGTCATCGTCCAACCATACATTTAGCAGGGAAGAAAAGACCCAGGTCGCACAAGCAAAGATGAAAAACAGTGGTAGGTCCAAACCGTGGAAATACTTGCAGATCTATCAGTTTTAAAGCTATACGGATGGGGAGGAAAGACATTTGCTCTACAACATAAAAACTTAAACATTTAAAACGCACCCTGCCCCTCAAATTTTTACCCTTTTGAACTGGTTTAATCTGACAAAAAAGTTAGCAATGTGACCTTTTTTTTATTATTATTTTTGACAACAGAAGCGAAAGTGCAAAATGAGTAAAAGTTAGCTAGGATAAAATATGTCTCTCGCCCAAAAGTTGAACTGCCTGTGGCCGATCAAACAATTATGACATGAAATGATGAAACAAAAAACTGCTGGACCGATCAGTTAAAGCAATAAACCTTGTAGACACATTTTAATATTTTTATGTAATGTAGCCTCAATAAATTGGGGGATTTGGGGGTAGATGGTCCTTTTTTAGAAGTTTTCTTTAGTAAATGGCCAAAGTCTTATAAAATTAGAAAATTTTGATTTTTTATTAACTTTAGTTTATTACTGATTAACTCGGTGGTTTATTACTGATTTTAACCATGATTTATCACTAATTAACCATAATTTATTACTAATTAACTACTTCTAAAACGGCCATTTTTCTATAAATAAAAAGTTCGGCTATTTGGCTAAAATTAAAATAGATCGGCGATTTATTAAAAAATGTGGCCAAAAAACAATTGTTTACCTAACTTTCTCATAAAGGGGGAGAGCACTATAATATGATGTAACTCATATAGTTTAGCTAGGTATAATTTCTTTCCTTAATTAGGTTCTGTACTCTCATCTATAATACACTACCTTAGTATAGTTTTCAAAAGTATAAATGGGAAGCAGAATTTTTCCTCTCGAAAAATTCAAAATTTTAGATGTGAAAATAAAATAAAATAGATCTTCATCCTTTTTTTTTTTTGTATATATTTACGTTCTTATTCCAATGTTACAAACATAAACTTCTCGTTGATAAGTAGTTTAAACTCCTTTTAAAACTGGGACTCGCAGATATGTCTACATAAATAAAAATTTGTACGAGAAACAAATGGTACGAATACCAAGAAAAGTTCATGGGGACTTCACTTCTTTTAGAATATTTTCACCAATCCAGGAGAGCAATGGAGATATTGATAATATACCCATAATAGTCTCACAATTTTACCACTTTCATATTGTTACTCTTGAAGGAGACGACAAGGAATATCATCATTTTCGCATCCTGTAAGCAACTAATTGAATGACAAAGTATTAACTAATGGAAGACGCACATGCAGTACTTGTTTTTTCTAGTTATATTTAAGGAATTAAGAATAAGACCCTCAGGCAATTATATGAGCTTACGCCAAAAATACGGACAGAGGAAAAACAAAACTCAGCTTGTCATGGGTGTTATCTTTGGTGATTTATGAATTACCTTAAATTTCAGACCACGCTTGCCTGTATGCGCAGGATCGCCATAGCAAATATCAACGAATCTTGAAACCTCAAACTCATCATCACTCGGGAGCTCATCATCATTTTCAGATTCTCTTGAAGCCTTTGACCTTGATGGATGCGTTCGTTCAACTTTAGTTGACCTGTATCGTTTGCACAACTTCTCCCATTCCTTCAATAATTCAATGAAATCCTCAGCAGCTTCATTTCTGACCTACAAAAATAATCATAGTGGTATTTGTCAGTAGTCGTCACGGATTTGAAAAACTTGGACATTAACATAATTAGAAACAAGGTATGCTCACATTTGTGTCTGGATGGTTTAACTTTAAGCTTTCACACGCAGACTTACTACTATCAAGAGCCCATCTCTGTTACAAATGGCAAATAAGATAACGTATAGGAGATGTTTGAGGCCGTATATGTGCAGAATAAATACAATAAAAGTAGTTTACTCAAGTACCGTCACGAGATTAACACCAGAAATCTTGGCACCAAGGCACAACCCAGTTGACATCCCACCACAGCCGCTGTAAAGATCTAAAAGTGCTAGTTCTGCTGGGTGAGTTTCTGTGGCTGTTGTAGAGACTCTCTTAATTCCACAAGTAGTAGAGTTATCTGAAGCAAAACAGCCGATACGGAGTGTCATATAACTTGATTAAGGCATTCAGCATAAACTTGTTTTATTCTGGGATCGCACACTACTCTAGAAGCCCTTTTGAGGTCCACAAAGAACACAACTACGAAAGATAGCATGACATTATAGGAATGCAGCCTTATTGAAGCATCTTAGAAAGCAGCAGAGATATATTTCCAATCAGCATGTCACACATATAGCATCAAGATTGTTCTGTGAATCATAGGAACGAACTTATGAAAGATAGCCACAGAATCTATTGAAAAATATGTGAAGCATGTTTGAAGTTATTTATTGCTTTATGTTCCCTCCTCCCCCTCCCCACCACCCCAACACACACACACACAAAAGAAAGGGATTAATCTCTTAATGCTTTTGGTAAATTGTTGAATGAAGCAAGTTGTCTGTAGGTTTTCCCTGCTCATTGTAAATCAATGATGCTGGGAAAAACTGTGGGCTTTGGATCTAATTAAATGGCTAGAATTTATAAAGTTGTATAGTGATTTCACTTCTTTGGACGAATTGGATGGAGAGAAATTCTAAGGAATTTTTTATCCAAATCTCTTTGAGAAGGCAAAGTTTTTAACTTCTTCGGAGGCACGACGGATAAAGCTTTTAAAGAATTCCTTTTCTCTTTGATTGCTCTTAATTGGAAGGATGTGATAGGGTGTCAAGCACTATATTTTTATCTCTTTTTGTTTCGTCGGTTTTTTTTTCTGTTTATCGTGAATACCTTATCCTCTTTCCTTTGTATTGATTCAACATCAACAAAGGAAGTTTTTCTTCTAAAAACTATATTTTATTGTTTTCATGTTTCCTCCTTTCTCATCATCTTATTCAACTCCTTCGTCGTCTTCTCACCTACCCGTCCATCTTATTGTTTTCATATTTTATTGTTTTCATCTTCCTCCTTTCTCATCATCTTATTCATCTCCTCCATCGTCTTCTACACCTTCCCCATCTCAAAACCTTCAACAAAGAGAGAAAAAACAAGCAAATTGCACTATCCATTTCTTTTAATTATTGAAAAGACAGGTGAGGCTACTGCAATGAAAATGCAAATTGATACTCTTTCAGAAAGTATTTACGCACAGCTCATTACTAAAAATTGTGATCACCAACAAAATCAACATACAAATAAAAACGCGAATATATGCGAAATATTATCATCTATTCATAAGGACAGCAATGTAATGTTCGACAACAACCCGACTGAAGCAAAACAAATTTCACCCCCGTACCTTTGCAAACATACATGAAGGTATAGGGCAGAAAAGGATGAATTTTTATTCATTTATCAACTGTACAGCATTTACAAGAATTTATAGGGAAACCACAGCAATGACTTTGGTGTAAAATCCCTTGAAAACAAGAAATACTGACCGGATTTCTGAAAACAAGAAATACTTTCCTATAAAAACTTTCCTAATCTAATTCAATCCTTATATTTAACGGATTGATTGGATTACAAAGTCAATGATCCTACTTTCCTTATTCCGACAATACATTTCCTAATAGCAGTGATGCATTGAGGAGGTTAATAGGAAAAACAAAAGTTTATGATTATGCCATTCACTCAATGCAAATGACTGTCTCGTGAATTGCCTTAGAATTAATAGGTCCAGAATCCCTCCCCTTATATACATGTATGGGTATGCTAAGGACTTGAATGCAAGAGCAACATATTTTACTCTTTTATAACAGTTCATCATGGGCGAGAAATTACGTACCAGACTCAATCGACTGAAATGTTGAATAGTCAACACAGTATTCCATATCATAATAAAAATCACATGGTGAAATGGAGTTTATTTTCAATCCTACCTGCACAAATACCAAGAATTTAGCTACAAAAAGATGCAACAATAATTGAAGGTTATGAACATTTTAGCCACTTTTGCACTTCGCCCTAGTATATGAAAACTATCATACGGCTTCCTGATCAATTATTTGATGTCAAATTAGTTGAAATTAAATTATTTAAGTTTGGAATATTCAAAGTATTACATATATATCTTTCCTAATGAAGTTGTTAACTTTATGTACTATACTATATTTTATGGGGGAAAAATTGAGTTGCTCAGACTGTATAAGAAAAAAGTAGCTATGGTTGTTTACATTGAAGTACAAAGTACAAAACTACAAACTAATAGAAAGTGTATGAGGAAGATTGTGGGAACACTAAGGAATTGTTATGGTTTGCATAGGCGACCACAAAATGGAAGGTAGCAGCCGAACCATACAACAAGAGAACAAAGAAAAGGTTTGATTAAATTAAAGAAGCTATACAAAATAGTGGAATCATACCCTAGGTGTTATTTTTGTTACATGGACTTTGGAAATAATGCAATCTAGTAAGTTATCGTTCCTTATGGTAGAATAGAATAAACGCCTCTTGTCATGGAAAGCGCCTACGTCTTGAACAACCTGAAAAAAAAAAAAAAGGGGGCAAAAAAAAAAAGTTGAAGCAGACCGCCATGACATGAGCCATATGGCCAAGTCACACAAAAAAAAAATACAAATAAACAAAAATAACAAAAAAAAATTATTAACCCACTGTATCTTCAATAGGATAAAACCATTGGACTCTAAAATACTTCTCCCCGTCAGTTGTCTTGAAAAATTCCACGATTCTGCCAACATGTTTTTTCTTCCCATCACCCTGAATCAAATGCTTCAAAGTTTAAGTGCCAGCAAAAGTGCTCAAAGTTCAAAATAAAATCAAACATTTTTTTGAATTGGAGATTCCTTGAAGTAGGAATTGGCATCATCCAACTTAACCCATTTAAATTCAGTTTTTGCCTCCATGATTTCCTCCAGTTTATTTCTTAAGGCAACTTTTTCACCTCTCTCATTCTTCATTAAGCTTCCACTTTCCTCTCTTTAACCAAGACTTCAATCCTGGAGAGAGTGTCAGTTTTTGTAATCTTTTATAATATTTAATGAAGTTCTTTGTTCTTTATCCAACAAAAAAAAAAAATCACCAACTCTCCCATAAACCTCTTTTTTCCTCTCTTTGACCCCCTTCTATCTGCCCATAAACTTAAACTTCCCAATCCTCTTAAGACTTCTAATTCTACCACTGTTTGGTTTCTTCTACCACTGTTTTGTTCCCTGAGATTGACATGGGGGATTGGGTTGGGTTCTCTACGTGAAGCGAATAGGAATCTAGGTCAGGGTCTGTCAATGGAGAAGAATATCCGAAAGACAATTCTAAGAAACACTAACCCCGATCCTTCACTTTTTTTTCACTTCTTATCTGTGCTTTTTCTTAGGTTTAAGGAGCGTTTGAACTAACCCAAAGCCTAGATCTAGAACACATAAAAGTATGGTACCTAAGATGGAGAAAGGTTCTTCAGAAAAACATAAACAGGATGATGGTGCATTGGTTTTGGCTATATTTACTTATTTTCTCTTGGGTGCAGCTACGAATGCTTATGAAGGAATTAATTTATCTATATAGATAATACTATGATTTTTTTTTGAGAAGTTTCGTTATGAATTTAATGGACACATGAATGTGCTGGAAATATCTCTATTTTCTAGGTGACTTTTGAGATTTTTCTAGATATCCATAAAACCTTCTGACACTTCAGTGGAGACAGGATTCAATTCGTAGTCTGCAATTTTCCCTTCGGAAAAATAAATAGCCTACTACTGAGAAAATTTTTGAGGTTCTCTTGACCCTGTGCTATGTTATCATTTATGGACAATCAGCCCCAAAGTTAAAAGTCACCAGTTAACCATCTATTTGATTTCAACCACTCAATAATACCATTCAGCAATACCACAACATGATTTTGACGGACAATTATCCTTTTCGTAGCAAATGCTTGGTTTTCTTATGTTTTGTCCTCTCCGTACTCCCCTAATATCAAGGTCGACTAGAATCAAGTGTCCCAATCTTTTTTTTACTGAGGGAAGCGTCTCAAACTTGGTAATTTTATTATTCTTTTCTCCTAACATGTTACAATGTTGAATCATGATGAAACCTAAAAAATGACTTGCTATGCAACATGCACATGCCTTGTCGCCTAAGAAAAATGACCATATATTTCCAAACTCTTAAACTGAACAAGGCAAAAAGTATTATTATTTTAATAAATTAATAAAATATAAAAGACTAGTTACTTACTTTCAATAAATGTATGTATTGAAAAGAGTAGTTACCTGTATATGAGCACAATCTCCAAGACTAAATATGCAATTTCCCACTTGAGCTTGAGCAAAATGGCATTCCACATTGAGGACTACTTTGTCTTCATCATCATCACTGCAATGCGTTTGTGCTAGTCAAACGTTAAAAAACATCAAAGTGGAACTGGCAAAGGAAACATCCAAAATAAAACCCAAGCACAATGTGATTGATTACTTACTTTAGCTTCGATGTCCGATGTTTAGATTGTTGATTCTGAAAGTCCAGAAATAGCACAATGAAAATCTTACACAATGGTGACATTTTGAATAAGAGATGAGATAGTTGATTAATACCAAATGCATTGTCTGGAGTTACTTGCCAAATATTTTAGCTTCTGTTATGATTGTAGATGTTGTATTTATGAGATTTGGAGAAATCAAAGATCTAAGTAATTGGTAACGTCTAATCAAACACTTTATCAAGGTAATTTGAAAATTCAAGTAACAAATGAAATGATAAAGAGCAACGAGCTAAAAAACTTTACCATGCAGACTTTACTACAGACTTTTACCGCACCTTAGCCCTTTTAAACAACTTACCTCCAGCTCACATAATGAATAATCCTATATAGATAGATAAAAACAAATTACAAAAACTGGCACTTGTCTATATGACATAACAAAACCCAAGAACTGGATCTCAAATGGTAGATGTTTTTATTAGGTCAGTTCTATATGAACATATATTCAACACAAGAACAATGATCTAAAAACGTATATGTGAGAGAGAGAGAGAGAGAGAGGACAGGTAAAGCAAAAAAAATCAAAGTATAATTGAGGTACAGATTTTGCATCACTCCACACTCATCCTTCGTTAGTGAATACATCAAAGAGGAACTTATGGTTCTATGGAACATAGTATTCAAAAGAAAACGTTACATATTTCATGAAAATCTTCAACATTTTGATCATGTTTTCAAGGTTTTGGGACATGACACAAAATGCTCTGCATGAGAAGATACAACATATAAGATCATGAAAAGAGGGACAACAGACATTTTAGATAGGAAAGGAGTGATACCTTTAACCCTCTTAAGAGAACTAATTGTCAAGAACTTAAGTTTCCTCTTTCCTTCATAATGTTAAGTTGGTAAGATATTCTGGTCAAAGTATCTGGTTGTTCCAGATGTTTTGTAGTTTGGTTTGAGGGTTGTGTTTTGCATTGAGGCCTAGGCAGCCGTTTCTTCATTATTTTTGTTATTGTTTGTTTTTTAGCTTTCCCTCGGTGGTCTTGTGTTTTCTACATTTGTTGGAACTCTCATACAACCCGTACAGTCTTTTGTACCTTTTTGCAAATTAATGAAGTTCTTTATTTCTTTAAAAGAAAAAAATAAAAAATAAAATAAAAAACTTGGTAGGACAAAGACTAACAAATACAATAACAAGGGTAATGGTAAAATAAGACGCCAATAATGATATTCTTGGTCAATACCTTCAGCTCATAACGCCAGTGCCACCTTTCTTGAGCTTCATCATCTGGAATGGGATCTCCAATAAAGAAAGAAATATTAGGATTCTTCTTTTTGTTCTTTGAAGAGTTTCTGCTCTCAGTTTTCTCTGTCGGTATTCTAATGTGTGGCTCAGGAAAATTAGTAAAGTTATATTCTTCTTGGTCATCGAGCAATACTAGATCAAATTTTTTAGAAGAGGTCCAAGTACTTTGATCCAAAAGAGGTCCATCTGACTCATCTGATGAATCAGACAATTTATCAAAAGTGTCCAGCCCGATGCTCTCATCTGTTGCTAAACCTGAGGAAAATCTAGAGGCCATGTCCTTTTCATTTGACATTTTCGCATATACTTTTTCCCTATATTCACTAGTGTTGTGTTCAGCCATTGACATTAGATTTGAAGCCCTCAAACATTCCTCACCAGAAAAATCTAAGTCATTATATTTCAAGGGCTTAGGTGCTATGCCACAATCTTCTTCCCGTGATAATGATTCCAATTCAATGAAACTCTTTTTTTGATTCTCCAAGTTTTTTGATTCTAAACAACTGCTCTCAGTTCCGGACTGGGTTGAGGTCGACCTTGTAGATCTTGTATGGTATTTTTCTTTTGAGCAATCCAAGTTGGAACTTATTGCTTCTTTACCCTCACTGCAACGGTTAACATATAGACTTTACACTTAAAATTACATTGATTTAGAAAATAAAAATCAATTAGAAAGCATGTCAAGCAAAAAAATCAATCACTTACATTGTTGTCAAGTTCTGTCCCTTGGATCCCTTACCCTATGAAACCAAGAACTGAAAATAAGAACTAAAATGTGTAAAATCAATGCTTACAAGAATCAAGTTTAGCACGAGAAAATGATGAACCATTAGAAAAAAGAGGGAGGGGAAAAAATACATTTAAGTCAAAATTTGCAGAAAAAAATAAGTAAATAAATCACATGTTAACTTACTCGCAGACTTGATGTATAATCGACAAGAGATGACATTCGAGATGTATGACGCAATTATAATTAAAAGTACCAACTATATGTATATAGCTTAACATGCATTGTTGCCCTTGTCCCAAGTTTTAAGTTCAACAGCTAAAGCTTTTGGAAAATCACTAATGTAACGAGGCACAAGATCTAATTACGTGAGTGTACTCAAAACTAGGATACCCTTGCTTATAGACTTATTTAATTGCAAAAGGTTCAAGTTTCATTTGGTTCCTTTTCGTTATTCAACAGGGAAAATGTTAAAGGCAGATAGTGTTCACATATAAACAGATAATAGTGTTATGTTGAAAGACGAGTCATTGATGGAAACCGGAAGGAATCTAAATATTTTAGCATAGCTTTTGCTTTTACTTTTAGAAGCTATGGCTTTTCAGTTGGTATTCATAACCACATTTTAGTATAGCTTAAGAGGTCAAAATAGTTTTTAAATTTTTCAATAAGCAATGAAAATGTTGGAACGAAGTTTATAATATCTCATTGAACTTTTGAACAAGTTTCAAAATCTATTTAGAAGAGCTTTTTTGAGAAGCCAAATTTGTGGTTTTAAGGGGAAGCTCTTCTGGAGAATCAAAACTCTTGTGACAAATTACTAGAACCAACTTTGAACCTAACAATCCAAAAGCAGCTTCTAGGAAACCATGCCAAAGTGGCCCTATGTTGTTTCTTCTTTTCTTCAAGGATTTTTCCCCCTCTGTTCCTCTTGTCCTCTTTTTCTTCTTAATACTACTACTACTACTAATAATAATAATAATAATAATCATCTTTTTCCTTGGAATTCCCATTTGATTTGTAATTAAAATCATAGGGAAATGGGAAATTTCTCATTTGTCATTTTTGCCTACTAGGTTGGGGCGTGTGAAGTCGGGTAGCTTTGATAAGAGATTTTTGTTTCTAGAGTCGTCATGATCATGTGTCTTCAATTGCAAACCATACTCGTCATTGATTGATGACCATTGTGACCCTTTATTTCGTCCTTTTTCACGCAAGTGTTGATTATACACACAACTTTACTTTCTTTGTATTATTATTTTGGTTTCTTTAAATTATTAAGATTTGACAGTTTCCCCCCGTTCCGTGACAACCAAAACCCCAAATCAGTTAAGCTTGGTTTGCAATAAATGGCACTAAAACGGAAAATAAACAAAATGAAAAAGAAGATAGATACTGGACTAAACCAAATGGCACAAGTCAAAGAAAGAAGGAGATGGCGAACACTCACCGTAGGGGTAGGAGACTTCTTTTCGCCACTATCAGCCACAACCACAGGCGGAGGAAATCTCCCAGACCTTCTCAGAGACTTTTTGTTGAACACTTCTGAGTCGCAGTTTCCAGAATCGCTCTTTAACTTCTTAGATTTCCTGCGGAATTCCGATGAATCGATCGGCGCACTCGAAATCGGCTGCGACCTCAAGCAGCTGCGCAGAGCCATCGAAGCTCGTTTATTTGCCGCATTGTTCTCCGTGACCGCTTCAGGACTCGAACTGAATCTAGCAGACCTTCTCAGGCTGTTCCGATCCACCAAATTTGGTTTCTTACTCACTTTTGGAGTCACATTGCTTTCTTTGTCCCCTTCAGCACTTGGAGAGAACCTCGCAGACCTTCTTAGGCTGTTCGGAATCTTCGGATCCACCAATTCCGGTTTCTTACCCATTTTTGAAGCCACATTGCTTGCCTTGACCTCTTCAGCACTTGGAGAGAACCTCGGAGACCTTCTCATGCTGTTTGAATCCACTAAATACAGTTTCTTACCCAATTTCGGAGTCACATTGCTCGATTTTACCTCTTCAAGACTAGAACCGAACCTCGGAGACCTTCTCATGCTATTTGCATCCACCAAATCCGGATTTTTACTCACTTTTGGAGTCACATTGCTCGATTTGACCTCCTCAAGACTTGAGCCGAACCTCGGGGACCTTCTCCGGCTGTTTGGATCCTCCACCAAATCAAAATTCTTATTCAATAGAAATAGAGTCATATTGCTCGATTTGACCTCTTCAAGACTATGACCGAACCTCGGAGACCTTCTCAGACAGTTCGGATCCACCAAATACAGTTTCTTACCCACTTTCGGAGTCAAATTGCTTTCATTGATCTCTTCCGGACTTGAAGCGAACCTCGGAGACTTTCTCAGGCTGTTTGGATCCAGAGAATCGGACTTCTTACCGACATTCAGAGCTACATTTCCCGATCTGGTCTCTGCCGGACTAGGAGCGAACCTCGGAGACTTTCTCAGACTGTTTGGATCCACAGAATCGAACTTCTTTCCAGCATTTCGAGCCAAATTTCTCGATCTGATCTCTGCGGGAATCGGAGCGAGCCTCGGCGACCTTCTCAAGCTGAGCTCGCATGGTGATCTCGGGTAGTACACGCTCAGCGGCACCGGTTGAGCGTCATTCGTCGTAGTCTTGTAAAGAACTAGCGCCTTCGAGCTGGAATCGGCTCCGGCTTTGGATTTTCTCGGCGGCCTCATATTCTGAGGGCTTTTCTCCGGGAAAGTCCGGAGGATTTTCTCGGAAATATCTTCTCAGAGAGATGAACAATTTCGATGATAACAGAGCGTCATCCGATTCCCTTTTTGGGTCCTTTCTCATATTTGTTTTTTCGTTCTTCTTTTTTCAGCCAAAAAAAATAAAATAAAATATAATAAAAGAATCTGCGCGTGCGTAGTGGGGTCGGGAAATAGTTCTATAAGGTCCAGAGTATTTAAGCTGTTTTGTATCATCCAATAGAAACGTTCACTTTATTTTTTAGAAAATTAATTGGTTCGTTCCTGTGGAGAATGAAGGAGCTACTTGGAGCCGCTGCAGTGGATAAAAAAAATCCACGCCGAGAAATTTCTGTAGGCCATTGGGAATTTTGCTTGTGGGTTGCGTTGAAATGTTGGGCCCACTTACTAATCACAAGGCACAACCGTCGAATTGTATGGGAGTGCTCAGTGCTATTTAATTTTACCGTTGTGTCAAAATTCAAAATTCAAAATTCCCGGTCATTATTAGGCCCTTAAAGCATTTCTAAAATTGGAAGGGGGAATAGGGTTTCGGGACATGAGGGCGTTTAACCAAGCTCTATTGGCTAAAAAAGTTGGAGGATTCTCCAAAATCCTACCTCGCTAGTGGCCCGCGTTCTTAAGGCGAAAATACTTTCCGCTGTAGAAACAATTTTAAATGCGCAGGTTGGGAATAATCCTTCCTGTACTTGGCTAAGCCTTGTTTGGGGAAGAGAGCTCCTAACCTAATTCATGGTATGCAATGGAGAATTGGGTCCGGCAAGGATATTAGAATTTTTTATGATCCTTGGCTTCCTAGACCCTATTCGTTTCGTCCCATTACACCATGCACGGAGGAGATAAAGGATTGGATGGTTGAATATTTAAGTGATGTTTGGTTCACGAGTTTAAAACTACGGTTCATAAGTCTGATTTTAAATTTAAATTTTTTATGAGAGAAAAACACTGTAACAGAATCAAGAACTATGATCCTAAATCAGACAGAGCTCTTAAAACAAACGTCACCTTAATCACTAATAGGCAGTGAAATCGAGATCTTATAAGAAATCTTTTTCTACCAGTTAACCATGATATTTTTTTTAGTGTTCCTTTGCCTAGAGGAGTCTGTAATGAACGCTGGGTATGGCACTTTGATGCTAAGGGGTTCTACTCGGTGAAATTAGGATAAAGAGTCAGTTTGGTAGTACTGTAAATTTTAAAAAAATTATTATTAGGTGTGCTGAAAAAAAATAACTGTTACAAAAAGTAATTGAGTGTTTGGTAAAATATAATAGTACAAGTATTGATTCTAAGGGTATTATGTATATTATAAAAGTTTCATTAATTGTATTTCAAGGTGATTGTCGCATAATCTAAAAGTCAAAGTTGCTCTTGGGTTGTTTCTGATTTTGACTGTAAATCCTTTAAAAATTCTTTAAGAATCAATTTGTATGGTTTTTATCAAACACAAATTTCATTTCTTGATAGCTAAAGAATTGATTTTGGGTTCTAAAAAATTACTACCAAACATACCCATAAGCTTGCTATGATGCTGCGTGATTCTCAAGGCAGCTCAGGGAGTGATTGCAGCCGGGAGTGGTGGGCCTTACTCTGGAATTAGTGCATCCCAAAAAAAGTGAAGAATTTCATATGGAGAGCTGCAAATGAAATTATTCATTGCCATGACAACCTAGCGAGAAGGGGAATTAACAGTGATCCTAGATGTCGACAGTGTGAGGAGGGGTGAGAATCGGTTTGGCATGCTATATGGCAATGCCCTTATGCTATTCAAGTTTGGAACTATTGTGCTTTGTGGCCAAAACTGAAGCACCTTAAAGCTGGCCGGTTTGAAGATCTTTGTGTTTTGTCACAATGATCGGCGTCCAAGGCAGATGTTGAGGTTTTTTGTGTTATTGCGTGGTCAATTTGGATGGAGAGGAATAGGATGGTTTACCATTTGGTCCACCTCATGGCCTTTTGAAGTTAAATATGGACGCTGCAATTCTAGAAGGTGCGGAGTTTATCGATGTGGGTACAGTTGTGCGTGACAATATAGGTACGGTCATGGCCTGTTTGTACAAAAAAAATTTATGGCAGCTTCTATCCCTTCATGGCTGAGTGCCGTGCACGCGCAGTTGTGGATTTCATATTTCGGCCGTAGAGACTGATGCCGTCCGAGTAATTCAATCGATTAAGCGGGGTTTTCACTGGCTGAAGAGGGGGTACTGATAGAGGATATTCTATTTCTCCTCTCGGATGTCTTTGGTTGGTCTCGTTGTCATGTATGTAGGACGGGTAACTCAGTTGCCCATGCTCTGGCATCTTATGCTTTCCATTCTGTGTTAGAGATTGCTCAATTTGAGGCTATCCCTCGTTTTGTTTCTACCTTCTCCCTTTATGTTGGTTGATTTGGCCTGATAAAAGCTACAGGTTTTCTTCAAAAAAAAAAAAAAGGCATTTTTAAAATAACTCCTTTAATTTTAGTTAAATTTTAACTAAAAGCTATTTAAAACCACACTCTTTATTTTAGTTAAATAAGATTATTTTGATATCTATTGAATTTAAAATATAAATAATTTTACTAAATAAAAAAAAACCTTACATTTATTATGATTTTAAAGAATAAAATAATAAAAAAAACAAATGTCTAATGGTTAGAGTATATAAAAGCTAAAAAAAAATAAAAATTATTAGTTATTTTGGCTAAATAAAAGTGAAATAACTAGCATAGTTAGTGATGCTCTTTTTGTATAAAGCCTATATCGGTAGTCTCTCTTGTTGTTAAAGCTCGTCAAAATCACGTCAAAATAAAAAAAATGCAAAATAGTCAATTTTAAATATAAATTCAAAGGTTAAAAATAAATAACTACCAGTTTATTTTTTCAGGGCGTAACGTGGAAATCTTCAATTTTCATAAACATGGGAAAGTTTTGTAAAAAAAAATTGCAAGACTACTGTAGAAAATATAAAGTAAAGGCAGTCTATCAACACCTTTTTTTTTACTTTTCATACACACATTCGTAATCCACACATCATTCTATTTGTTACATCTCTCTTGAAAGATAAAAAAAGTCCTTAAAATTAAGGTCTCGTTCAGTTTGCGGATTCGTATTTTCAGTTCGAATTGAAATGTGATTTTATGTGAGAATTTTTCATTATAGCAAAAAAAAATTAGATGTAACTTTTTATGAAAACTTTTAACTGTAACAAAATTAAAAACTCAAATTAATAAAATAAATGATGCCTAAATAACCTATATTCTACTTTCCACACACATATTCTTAAACCATTTATCATTCTACTTATTAGGCCCCTCTTAAAATTTCAAAAAGTCTCCGTAAAAACTCATAATTGGATCGTCATTCATTAGTTTCATTATCTATCAAAATATATAGTGCTAGGAACATAGGCTTTTTCGTTTTTATATTTTTATTTTTTTGAAGTAATACACTTTGTGTTATAGGCCTAGTCGACTCACTGTTCTTGAGTTTTTAAGATCTCGTTTATTTAACTGATTCGAGTTTTTAGTTTTAAATTTATATAGTTAAAAGCTCTAAAAAAATATCATATTTAACTTTTTCTGTTACAGTTAAAAATTCTTAAAAAATATCATATCTCAACTTAAATTAAAAACTCAAATTCGCGAAACGAACAAGAACTAAGTCCTAATAGGATACAAATTTACATGACTGTGCACATTCATAATATATATATATACATACATATACATATATATATATATATACATATACATATACATACATATATATATATATATATATTCCATCGAAATGAGAAAAGCCTACATCACAATAGCTTTTGCAGGGCTTCGAGCTTCGTTCCACGCAGGCCTTCCCAACGCCAAGAATTTGTTCTGATTAGGCTGCCGCCAAAAACTGAGTCCAATAACAAGAAATTAAAGGCGCGTTCTTTTCTTAAACCTGACTTAAGAATTTAATGATCAATTTAATTTGTTGATTTAAGTTGAAATGTAACTTTATGTGAGAATTTTTTACTGTAATAAAAAAGTTAAATGTGACTGTTTCTGTGAACTTTTTACTGTAACAAAACTCGAATTTTAAACTCAAATCAGTGAAATGAATACAGCCTAAGTTTAGTATGTAGGAGAAAATATTATAGTAAAAAAATTAAATTTAAATTTTTATGAGAAAAATACTATAATAAAAAATTTAAGTTATGATTTGAGTTAGTTAAAACAACATCTCTTAAAATTTACTAAAAATAAAAAAATAAAATTCAAATCAGAGTGAAAACCCAGCAGCTAAGAAAACAAAAGAAGAATTTCTATTTCCGCAATAGGTAACTAATAAAAAAAAATCAAAGAAGCATATCTTGCCATCAAACAAACAAGCATATTCTGCAGCTGATTTAGACACTGATACATGAAAATCATAACAATCTCTAAAAGGCAAAAACACACGAAAACTCAAAATAAAAAACGATTAGAAAAGCAGTTTATCTGGTCAGATCAAACTGTGCACCTTTGCTTCCGAAGAATTTTTTTCTGAAAAAATCAGAGGGAGAGAGAGAGAATTAGAGAGGAATTAAACTTTCACAAAAAATAAAAAATAGTTATTCGATAGTCTTCATCAGGACAAGCAGATAATACTTATAGGACTTATAGGATGTGATGATCAGATGATGATCGAATAATACAGAAATTGAAACTCTTGACTGCGAACGGTAAATTCTAAAATCTTAATTAAGAAGCCACCACCATAGAAACGATAAATTCAAAGCACTATCAAATTACAAATTCTAATAATGCTTAGAACCAAAAAAAAAAAAAAATCTGACAACAAACCAATCAGACCCATAAAACTAAAGATAACATCTCCTGCAACTAGCATAATTGACGAAACACTAATCCTCACAAAATAAAATGCACAAAATTACCATCTCTCGTATTTAAATACATGATCAAATGATGAAGAGTTTATATACATATATATATATATTTATATACTCTCGATGAATTAACAATCATGAAGTGGATGAAATCAGCAATAAATAAATTTAACCATGAACTTGAAAGAAATCCATTCTT